CTTTGTCATTGCTATAAACAGTCATTCTTTTTTCTGTAAACTTGAGGTATCTTCATTTGCTAAGAGCTAACAATAACCCAGCTGTAGAGTTGAATATAACTTAGTTCGCATTCATTCACCATTTTCCTGCTGTGTGTATGTACAAGCATCACTTTGCTTCACAAACAGCAGGGCACTTTCAGAAAGAAACGCTCGAATTAAACTGTTGGGAGCTTTCGGTGCTGCTGCAGACAGTAAACCGCTCCTGCAGTCAGCCCCAACACAAAAACTTATGGAAATTGATGCTTCTTCTTGTCGGAGTTGATTATTGTTTTCTTTGTATGTGTTTGTGTGGATTAACCTAGATGGCTTGGCCCCTCCCTGACCCCCTCCCGCGCCGGTGCTCTGCTCCCTTGCGTTGTTGGGACGGGGCTTGGACCGTTATCTGAGCCCCCCTCCCTTCATTCAGTCTTAGCCTTGGCCTAGATCTCAGCAGTATAATGGACCGTTTAATCATGAAATATTCAACTCGCCCATCCCATGGAAGAATACAACTTGTAACATGGTTAGAAGTTTCCATTGGAGTGGAGTTTTTGTCTTATGATTTATTAAGTGGCAGATTGTAACATGACAAGTTCCCCTGTGGCTAAAACCAGGCGGAGGGACTGGCTTTTATCATGATGATGCAACAGCAGCGAGCATCACTTTCTTGGTTGCATGAGGTGACGTTTTGCCTCTTATGCTGTAGTTGTTATAGAAGGGGCTGAACACAGGATGTTCTAAGGTGGACACTGCAAGCGCTGCAGAAACTTTCCTTCCTGTTCTACTCAGCTTCAAGGCAGTGTGGCGTAGAGCAAGCCTGTTAAAGGCATCTGGGAAGCATGCATTAAAAGCCCCAGTGGCCTTAATGGAGAACAGCTTTCAGATCCTGTAAAACACAACACTTATGGTTGATGATGATTGTTGGCATAGTGTTGCTGCTGCCTCAGTGTTTCAACTTGCTGCACTCACTGTTAGGTTTCTAAATCGCAGCATTATGCTGTGGTTTATCTGTAGATGCGGGGAGTTTTGTATGATGTGGAGATCAATCTGAACTGATCTGCTGGTACTTGGATCAGACATGAGTTACAGACTCCCAGCCCAGCCACCGACTCCAGCCTTGATCCTGTGAGGCTGCATGGCATAATGTGGCTTATTTTGCTTTGGAGGTTTACAGCTACTGGACATGAAATCAATCAAACTCACTTTAGATGTATAATGTTACTTCTACAGGTTGGAGTCATTTGTTTTTCTGTTTTGTTCTAAAAGATAAATAAAATCAAGATAAAAAAAAAAATACAAACTTAAACACAAGCCCCTCTAGTGACATCACAGCATAGTTTTTTTGTTATGTCAATTTATTATTTTTTTTCTTCATTTTCGTCTGTTAATCAAATTTCAAATTGTGTTTTGCGCTTTGTATGACTGCAGCAGAACACTGAAGCTTAAGAAAACACAATGTAGATTTGAGGAAAGTATGTCAACAAATAAAATACAGCTGCACAATATATTCAATTTTATTGTTTTACAAGATTGCAGAAAGAAATATCAATATTGTAAAAAATACAAAACAAAAAAACAGCTTGAGCTTCTTAGTATTAGTTGATTATTTAAGTACCATGAATTCAGGCCCCCTGTATTAATAAGATATTTAGTGACACTGGTGTAAATACAAGGCTGCAAGTGTAGCTGGTAATAGGTCTGTCATAATACGAGATAAATCAATTAATCACATGATAAATTAAAACAAGCTCAATTTCTTTTTCTTGTTTCCTCTCTCTTTATACAAAAAACTGGATGCCAAACATTGTCAGTCCAGTGTATTATTAGATTAGAATTAGATATTATTCTCAAGTAATTCTTCGTTTGAAGGACCATTTTGTTTACAGAGTCTTCATGATACATAATATGTGAATATATATAGAGTAATTCTGAGGCCTACCATGTAATTCACACTCTTGCTGATATAAATATAACTGAAGCTGTAAGGGCAGATTGTAGAGCTGACCTTAGCTGCAGTTTATTCAGCCTGAACAACACCAGGACAAAAAGCAGTGGAAAAAGGCCTGATCAGATGATCAGAATATGTTTGGACCTGTTGATACTTATATGTACATTTATGTAAATATAAATTGGGGCATGTCTGTATTATGTTTGTTCATAATGGAACAGATGGAACATGCTGGTATTTTAATTGTGAAAGCATGCTCCCAAAATATTAACAAGGATTTTAAAAAAGGACTGCACACACACTTTGACCCACCTTTTGGTATTTTGACCCACCTTTTGGTATTTTGCTTGGAAAATATGACATTGTTCAGGGCAAGTAGACAGATTGATAACCTTGTTTCTTAGCTAAAAGAAGGATCTCATTAATGGTACTTTTATCATGAGTATGCCAATCTGTTGCTCTGTTTTAGACATGTTCTGCCTCTTCTGGTTATCAAAGTTAAATCTCCAGTAAGCCAATCAGTGACCGGTCGTCTTTCATCAGCTGTTTTTCCTTACACTGCAGTGTGCCATTGACATGTCAGTTGCTTTTGGTGGCTGGTGGATAAAAAACCTTTCTGTATGGTTTTGGATTCATCTCTTGTTCTTGTGGTGCTTTTTACTTTGAAGGTGTAGACAGGAAATGGTTGGACAGAGAAGAGGGAGGGCATTCAGCATAGTTCTGAAGGTCTGGATCTTTACCCTGGGCTTTTTCATAGAGAACTACAGCCCATGTTTATGGAAGCTGACTCTGTTGTTCAGCTGCCACTCTGCCATTTTTTTTTTTTTACTTGAAATACTGATACACACAGGTCTGCACTTTTTTGGGAAAACAGTGAATATTCAGCAACTTTATTGAATGTCTCAATTGAGGGTGTGCAACATATTGCAAATATGTTGTCATAACTTGTGTGCAAAGTGAATATAGTAAGACTGTAGGCAAGATTTGTTGACTATTATATTCCCATTGATATTATAGTTGATCATGTATTGATTCTGTTTGTCTGACTTCCTGATACAGGTGATAATAGCCACGGTGTGAGGAAACATTGAAATGAGGAGAAACAAAGATGTCACCATCCCAATATTCAACAATAATAGTGCTTCCACATGATTTTCTAATATTGTACTGCTAGAATGTTAGCAGCCTTTGCAGATACTGTAAAGATAACGAAACATTGTGCTCATTTCAGCCTCACTCACAGATGCTGCTTAAGCAATAAATCACCTTCCTGTGTTGCATGCAGAACCAGTTCCATAATGGCTTTCAAAATATTTTTGTAACATTCTTAAGATTAGCACCTTTAAATATTCAAGGATTTTCTCTTGTCAGACCACCTAGCTAGCCCGTGGTCTGAAATTTGGACTCAGGTCCCAGATCAAGAAAAATACCACATAGAAAAATAAATAACTTACCTTATTGGTTATTTGTTTAAGTGATAAATAGAAATATATATAGAATATATATTTTATTGGTATATAGAACATGACCGTGAAGTACAAATAAAATCAGCTAATATAATATTGCAATTTATTTCTGAATTAGAAATATATTCAGTAGTCTTGGTGACAGATTTGACCGAAACATGGATTTCTGATTTTCTTTGAGTTCTGACATGTTGATTCATGTTGTCACCGACTTAGATTTGTTTTCAAATAAAGAATATTCTACTTAAAGGGGAATTAATGTGCTAATTTCATTTCAAATTCATAAAAGTATATGCTTTTGGTTTAAGTGCATAGTTAAAAAATGATAGTGCAAAAAAATCCTCTAACAGCCAATAATCGCTGCATTCAGTGCCATGGCAGGGAGAAGCTTTCTGTTAATGCTGCTTTAAAAGTGAACAAAGTGCCTGAAGCTAAAATTACCAATTGGTAGTTTGCCAAGACTTGTTGTTTGAGTAGAACACAGATGTTCTTAAATTCTGTCATTTTATACTTGCTGTGTAAGGATGATGAAATGTTTAGAGCTACTGTAGAGTACCTCTGCTGTGTTTTAGCAGAGTAGCTCTGCTAAAACAGAGTACATTAACATGTACAAATGCTTTACATGTTAATATATATTAACATGTACAGACAAATTTATGTCTGTACATACAGAAAATATCTTTGTTTTTGTAATATTTTGACATTCTGAGGTGTGTTCTTCCTAAAATCACTATAGTTTTTTTCACTGCCGTTTTCACCACAGGTCACTTTTAAACGTACAGGTAGATTTAAGATAAACACACCCCCAGGGGTTTCCTGCAGAAGTCTTGCTGGTGGTTGGGCCGCCATGTTTTTCTATTATGAAATGTTTAGTTGGCAGGAAATGTCAAAATATTATTGAAATCCCAATCTAACCTGCCCAAGGCATTAATAAACTAAGCAGCTGCTTAGACATAAAAGCTAAAATTTGAACACAGATCATTGTTTAGTAACTTCAGGTGAAGGCTGTGAAGGTACTCGAGGCGGCCACCACATGGAGATGCCAGCGGTTTTATTGGTGACCCCACACTCTCCGCTTCACTCCCTGTTTATAACAGGGAGTGAAGTGTATTATAGTGTATTATTATAATCCAGTTCTTATGAGTCTGGACAAGATAAGAGCAATGTTCCTGATCATATTTTGATTTGAATGATGAAAACATTCATTGATAATGTAAATGAAAAGTAGTACCTGCATTTCTGACACAGTGAGATGTTTAGAATTGTTGATGCCATTTTTTAAATTCTACAGCTGATAATCATGCAGAAAGCATGTATGCAAACCTAAATAATCAGTCATGTCACCATGACAATGAACAACGATGGGAGTGACACTGAGCTGCAGTAGAAGGAAAAATAAACAGGTGTGCTTTCGATTCTTTCAGTCCAATTAAATGAAACAACAAAGAAGTAACAGTGAACTCAGAACCCAAGAAAAATTAAGTTTACAGCAAAACACTTTTTGGTATAATGACCAGAACTACAACCAACGCAACCAGATAACATTATCAGGTATCTAGGGTTACCAGGTATCCAGGGGAACATCATCTGTCTGGACAGGAGCACCGTCCTCCTCATGGTTCCTGTTGTCTCAGAAATAACTCCTGCTGGCCTCCTGGCTCTAGTTCTCGTCGAGGCTCCAGTTTTCTTAGAAAGCTCTTGTATCTGTGTGTACAGCCCACGCTCTTCAGAGACCTGAAGCCATTTTTCTGCTGTGTCCTTTTTCCTGTCAGACAGACATTCATTTTCTTCAAATCTTATTTTAGGTTAAAAACATGCCCAAACTAGTGAAAGTGGTTCATAATTGTGAGATAAAGCCTGGCAGAAAGCAGCTTCAAGAGGGAGCTGACCTTGATTCTAAGAATATGAGGAATTTTGTTCGTTCAGTTAAGTTTCCGCTTGTGCTTCAGTATTTCAGCCATCCTGTCCCAGTCTTTGTGTGTGACTGTGGTTGCTGATTGTCATCCAGTGGAATGTTTTACTAGTGTAGGCGCTGACAGCTTCACAGCTGACGTCATCGCCGCTCTGCTGCTGCACTGTGGCACAGCTACAAACAGGAACACAACTTCCTCTGCTCATTCTTTCATTTCATTGCACTAATGTTCCTGTCTGATAATAATAATTGACATAGCTAAAAGTTGGGCATGAGAGTGTATGATATTTCCAAAGACAGAAATGTGAAAACGTTTATTTCTTAACTTACAAGAAAGAACCAATCATTTTATTCCTGCTGTTTCTAAAATAATTAAACGTATTGATTGCTATTAAGTATTACTTATTAAATCTGTCAGGGGAGTTTTCCTTTCTACTGTCGCTCTTTGCATGCTCAGCATGAGGGATTGCTGCACATTTGACACACACAGTGCACCTGATACCTGTCCAGATGGAGTGAATGCTACCAGTAAGTGACCTGGTTTGGTAACTAGCATTGACTTGGAATGAGCTTAGTTGACTTTTAATTTCATTGTATAATAGTATTTACTTTAAAAAAATTCTTTCTTTTAAAAGTGATTTGAGACATTTTCTGTTGTGAGTTGGAGTTGAATTGAAAACTGTATTGACGAGACTTGAAAAATTTATATTGCGGGTTTTTAAACAGAAATAGTAGGTTTGGATAACAACTTTGTCTTTTGGTCATTAATAAGTAGTAGCATATGTTCCTAAACAAGAGGTGGGCATTTATCAAATTGTTTATCATTTTTTGTGAAACATTTCTCATAAGAATTTTGATTCATTGTCACAAGAATTCCAAATAATAAGGTTTAAAATAAAAAACTTAAACTGTGTGTATTGTTGGACTTGACAGTCCGATTATTTTCTCCACTGTTTGTTCAATAAATAGTTAGTTAGTAATGTAAGTCACGTTTATGTGACAAGAACTCATAAATATTTTTCTTGTCAGTTTTATTGCCATCACAATAGTACCAGCCCTATACTATAAACTAATTTTGATTAAACCCAGAGAAAGTGCATCACAGTACAACCTGCTGGTTGGTCGACTAATAAATTATGGAACTTTCTACTTTTGTTTCATTCATCAAATGCTATAAAAATTGTTTACATGTAGTCATTACTTTAATATACACTGTGTTCCAAATTATTACGAAAATTGGATTTAAGTGTGTCATAAAGATCAAATTTTTTTGCTGTGCTATTAAATTTATAAATGGTATTGTGTGTCAGGGCTCTTTGAATCACTATAATTAATTTCAGAGAGCTGGGTTGATTAGTTTATCTGGTGAGCTCAATTATTGGAAATCTACTAAAGAAGGATGTTCCACATCATTAAGCAGGTTTCAAGCAATATGGGAAAGAGAAAGGATCTCTCTGCTGACAAAATCATCAGATAGTGTAGTGCCGTATGACAAGATATGAAAACATTAGATATTTAATGAAAACTGAAGTGTTATTGTACTGTTAAGAGATTTATGACTGATTCAGAACATTTGTACAGACAATGAGGAAGGTTCCTGTTAGACAAATTAATGGGATTAAGAGAACAGTGGCTAAAATGTCCTTACAAAGCAGCAAAACGTTATTTGAAGCTGTGGTGCCTTTAGAACCTCGAGGTGGAGGATCCTTGAGAGGCTTGCAGTGCATGATCCTTTATTCAGCCATACATAAAGATTTATTTTCAAACAGACTTGTTAACTGATGACTGCTGTGCAACACTGGATGGTCCAGATGAACACAGTAGTGGATTGGTGGTGGATGGCCACCACATCCCAACACGGCTGTTACGTCAGCAAGGAGGTGGTGGAGTCATTTTTGGGCTGAAATCATGGGGAGAGAGAGAGCTGATTGGGCCCTCAGCAAAGTATATGGACTTTCTGACCTTGCGTAGCAAAATCATCTTCATGCATGACAATGCACCATCTCATGCTGCTCGGAATACCATTGTGTCATTGGCTGCTATGGGCATAAAAGGGGAGAAACTCATGCTGTGTCACCATCCTTCTCTGACCTCAACTCTATTGAGAACATTTGGAGTTTCCTCAAGCAGAAGATCTGAGAGTGGAATGCAGTTCATATCAAAACAGCAGCTCTGGGAAGGTTTTCTGACATCCTGCTAAGAAACTTGAGCAGAAACTTTCCACAAACTCACAAGTTCAATGAATGCAAGAATTGTGCAGTTGATACCAAAGAAGGTCCTATGTTAACATGTAACTTGGTCTGTTATGTTTTTGATTGAAATAGCTTTTGATTTTAGTACATGTGACCACTTGATGCTGCACATTCAAAGAATGACCATTTGCAGTTCTTTATAATCCATAAAATGTTTAGAAAATCTGCTGTGCATAATAATTTGGAACAGTGCATTTTGAGTTTTTTACTTTTGAAAAAATACTGTTCTTATGGGACGTCTGAAAGCATCCTGACTCCCCAGATTGTTTTCAGAACGCCCTCGTCTCTCCCGTCAATATTTTTTAGAGCCGTTTTAACACCAGACTTCTTGAGCTTTCAACGTAAACCGAACCACTTCAATCCAAGTCACTTGAACCAAGATCGGTGAGGTTGACCTGTGGTCGGCTGCTTTTAAATCACACAGATCACAGAGACTTTTATAAAGGATGAGAAGAGCACGTTTGGTATACCAGCCAAAACATTTGTTCAGTAAAATTTGATTTCTGCTGTAATAGTTCATGACTTGAAAATTATATTGACCATTTAAGAAAATCTGAGAAAATATCACTTGCATAATAATTTGGAACATTGTGTAGAAACATAATTGAGCAAAAAAACAACAACCAAAAAACATTTTTTTAACTGAGAGGATTGTAGAATCTTACTTCAGCTGGCTGAAGTAAGTATAAGTGCCTCACCAGATCCAACATGTGCAGCAGCAGGTGTGGGAGGGGCAGTGCTGTGTTTACTGTCAGATGTAGGAAACTTCTGTCTCAATACTCGAAAAAGACTTTAAGATAAGGGAGTGGTGATTGGGAACATTTTGGTGGTTTGTAGCTGTTTGAAACATTGGTAAACCTCAAACCAGTAACCTGTTCATACCTGCTGTGAGTTGCTGAGCTGCCGCCTGGGGGTCAGAGCCTCTTTGCATTTGTTTTTTGCCACTGAAGTGTCATGTTGCTGCTTACATTGTGCTCAGCCAAGATACAAATATCTCAGCAGTGGATTTTTGGAGCCGTCGTTTCTGCCTGTGGGTGGAAGAGAGTCCAAAGTTGCCAGGGTGTTGTCCTCCTGCAATAGTCTCTTGAGAAACTCTACAGCATGCCTGTGTGTTTTGACAGCGATTTGTCCTTTGTTGAGCACCCAGTAGCCAATTGGATTTATGGTCTGAGGCTGAAACAGGAAGCTGGGGAGAGGACTCCAGGGAGACTTGTGTTTAAAGCGAGAATCCAGATTGTCCCCCTGTGCTTGCGTGGAAAGCAGGAAAACTGAGTGTTTGGTTTGTGTACTTGTGTGTGAGGCGCTGTCTGCTGCAGCACTGAGCCACTCACACAGACAGACAGACCACACCTCCATCTGTGAGTTGTGCCCTGAGGATGATGGTCACTGTAGTTTCATCTTGACATTGGTTGATATTGTTGTGCTTAAAACTGCTACCTGTGACATGAAACCCGTCAGGATGCTTCTGATCGTGTAAATACTGGTTGTGTTTAGAGAGCAATCTGTTCACACACACATCCACACCCAGAGCTCCAGAAATTTTGAGTAAAGTAACAATTATTCTCAGATAGTGATGACTTTTAGGTTTTTCTCTTTTTCTGACAAGGAAATGCATCAATGAATGTGCCTGGGATTGAATTTGGCCCATTTTCTATAAGTGCCTCACCAGATCCAATACTGAAAAGTCTGCTTATTAAATGCATCAAACTAAGAACTACAATTTTTGCACTTTACGTACATAACCAGGGTTTTACCCAGAAACCTTGGTAAGCCCACCGTATTTTTGTATTAAAAGATATTGACAGGAAATGTGAATATTTTTCTAGGTAGTTATGTTTGTGGAAGACATTATTGACAATGATTAAACACACAACTAGAGTCTTAAAAACAAAAAATACAATAAAACTAAATATCGATTATTTGCACTTCCCCATTAAGTCATCAGTCAATTGATCATGAAAAACTTTGTAATGCTGATCACATTTAGAGCCCGAGGCATAATTGAATCAAGCAGCTGCTTAAGGCCTCCAGGACTTCAGGGGCCCCATAATTGGTTACATTTTAACACAAACCACATATATAGAAATGTAACATTTGTTTATTTAGAATATCAATGCTGCTAAAATTGATTTAATGGTTTCAGCATAGGTAAATTAAAAGGCTTTGAATTGTTTACCATTTCAATTTAAGATTTTAATGAGCTGACAACTTTCCTTTGTAAAAGTGCAAATAATGTTAATAGTTGTTACCACAGCTACAAGTTTAATCCTTTGTGTTTGAATTCATTCTGTTCACAAATGCATAAGCAAATTAGTGACTGGATTTAAGCTCTAGGAAACAACTAGATAAGATAAAGTGTATAAGTGAGCTTTACACTTTCACTATACAAAAATCTGAAATTATATTCAAGTCAATAATAAAGAAGCAGGCTCACAAATATCCTTATAAAAAATGTTTATACTCTTTTTGTTTATGTATTAATCATCAGTCAATTTAATAGATGAATTCTCACCTTATAGCTTTTGTGTTTATATTAGCAACGGAATTTGACACCTTCGTTTGTCACACACAGAAACCTCTACCAGCAACGTGCCGCTACGACGCGCACTTCCACCCATTTGTTGAGACCCAAATGATATGAAATCAATTTTCCAGTTCGTCCGTAAAGGTACATTTACGTTAATTACCTAATGCAGAGTATACAGTCTATACTATCCGCTCACCTTCAGTGCTCTTCCCCGCACTGCAGAGGAAGAGCACTGCCACCGGCAGCAGCTCCAGGAGGAGAAAAGTTGCTGTACCCTGGGCATCACGGTTATTGATGCCTGGAGTTATTTTAGTTATTTTAAGGATGCTTATTGGTCCCCCCAAAAAAGACAAAGACATGGACATTACCATCAATCAATAAAATCCTCCCAGGCCGAACTTGAAAACTGGACGTTATGCCGCTAACACTTAGCTTTCATCAACAACTCATGTGAAGTCAGAGCTCCGTGCAACACAAGAAATAACCTGGCCGAAACACGGTGTGCTAAATAATAAAGTATAAATTAAAGAAGCTTTGAGGCAGATACATTTTCCTCAAGGAATTTTAATAATCACGGTACTCGAATCACTCAAAGAATCGTTTCAGCCCTAATACTGCCGGCCCTTCTTGATGAGCTACAGTTGATGAGAGACAAACTTGGTTTGATTTATCTGGCACCACTATGGCCTGCCAAGCTTATGGTAAACTGGAGGAAACCCTGCATAACCAACAATATGTGCTCTGACTACCTTCTTTAAGTTGAACAAAAGTCCAGAAGATGGGTACATGTGATTAAATGGATAATAAGTTCAGCTCACAAATCGACTTATGCACAAATGGAGTCAATTCAATCCAGTGTACAGATTCTTGGCTTAAACCAGTGCAATCAAGCTTAGTTTCTTCCATCAGTGTGTTCAAGTACGTGAGCCAATTCAACCTATACATTGAGTCATTAACTTTGCAGTGGTCTTTCATACCCAGTAGTCATGTGGGATAGTAGAAAGCAATGACCCTCCAGCTGAAACCAACTCAGTGTTAGCAGCTAGCTGGCTGCAGTCTGAGAGGATGGAGCGGGGTCACAAAAGAAACACACAGAAGCTTTTTTTTAAAGGCTTTGCATGTAAGAAAGAATAAGAAGTTCTCTATGTAGATCTAAATATAGATGAGTCTGATATGATGACTCTGAAAGCAGACTGTGAAAAAATGAATCTGGACACCAATCAGCCCTGCAGTTATTTGTCAGGCTGTCCCAGGTCTGATTGCTCTGCCTGGCCTGCAGCAATTACAGAGCTTCCTACATGATGAACATTGTATCCAGAATGCCGCCACAGGTTTTGCTCTTGTTTCTTTATTTTGTACTTTGGTTTTAAAAGATGAAATCATAGGAAGTTACAGATAAATGTTCTCCAGACTAATAGAGGAAATAGAAAGCTCTTTGCCTGAAGCCATGGCCACTGGGGTAATGGTGTGTGTGTGCTGAAAGTGGCCAGCTACTTCCTCCTCCTCTTCAGAGCAGGGCTGCAGCTATTCAGGCCCTCCAGAAATAATTCTCACAGTGAAGCTTTGATGGGGACAGAGTGGTGCTGGGCCACAGCCATGGTTGTGCTGCACAGATGTCGGCTGGCAGGAGCTCTGCTCAGATGGGCTGCCTGCTTGAGCATTGCTGGCAGCTTGACACACACTCTTGAGTATTTACTGCTTTACCTTGGTAACTTTTATTTACCTCACACATACAGAGTATAAAATGCAGCCATTTTTTCTTTTTCATTTCCTCTTAAAAGAGAACTTGTTCCCATTTCATTTTTTAGATTAGTAGAAAAACAATTACTAAAAAAGCAAAAAAGGGAATTAAAATGTCATTTTTAACGATGCACCTTTAATCTTAGAGTATGTGTTGACTGTGTACTGTAGTGTGTGTTGTAAACAAGAGAGATGGAGCCCAGAGCGCCACCCTCATTCTTTCACACACATGCAGAGGAGAGGGTGCCTGTTGGCTACAGGATGGATACACAGTCCTTCACGCAACATCTGCATTTATACCAAGATCAGGCGGCCTGTTCACTGAACCAGTTCATTTCCCTGGTTCTTATTAAGGAGTAAAACTGACTTCAATGCCAGGCCTTTCACTATTATGAACTTTCCTGGATGATCAATTGTCCCTCAAAGTATATGAAGTATAATCTTAATGTTTTGAGACCATTTTCATGGAACCTCATGTGACTCCAGAGGGACATGCCTCATGAACAATAGATATGTTATATGGCACATATGGCACATCTTCCTTGTGCTGCTGATTGTTCTGGTGTTTGTGGTTGATGGCTAAGACAAAATCGGATACTAGATTAGGAGTGAATACTTTTACAAAACACGTATGTGCAAATTTATGCTGCGCTGTAGAATAAACAAAAAGTTTCAGAGTAAAAGTAAAATTCCATTTTGATAGAGAGAATATTTTAAAAACACTTAAGTTTATGTACAGTATTTGTAGGTAATGAACCACTTTAGAAGATAAGCCAGAATCAGAACATCACACTTCAGCTTTACAACACTAACGCTTTCATCATGGTACAAACTCCACTAAGGCCAAGCATTGATTTGAAGGTTAGATTAAAATCTTAAAGATTAAGAAGGAATTAAATATGGCAGCTGTGAGAAGAACACAATCTTACTGTGCTTTGATAGTGATGGTGGAATTCAGGGAATTTAGTTGCTCTCCTCCCAGGACAAAGGCTTATCAGTGGGGCTCACATTGGTGTCGTGGTGGAGCTCAAAGGAAGCAATCATTCAGATCTAGAGGGTGATTCCAGCGCCTCAGGACAACTTTTTATGTGTTCATCTGTTAGGAGGAGGGATTCATAGGCTGATGCTTAAATCTGTTAAGTGGAAAACAGATGCACATTTAATGGTAGATAAATATTACAACATTTTTTTTGGTGTGGTTGCTAATCCTGAGAGTCCACAATTTATCTATCTGAAATTAAAGCCATGGTATATCTTAAATTTAGAAAATAGATTCAAGTTTGCCTTGAATGCATTATATTTTGTCGTGGCAGAATAATTTTTTTGTCATGTGTGGTTTTTTTTCCCCTGCTGGACTTTTTTGTCAGGTATAAGCTTTAGTAATGCAGAGACATCTTCATTGCATTTTGTAACACGAAGCAGTTGAGGCTATCACCGACTAGCTGCTAATACATACTTGATAGCTAGTTACTTTTTTTTTTGTCTGTTATGGGTAAGTGCAAATCTATGACTGGCTGACCCCCTTCTGTTGCCAACTCACTTGAGGCCAGGCACATTCTGTGCAAAAAGTACTTAAGTTCAACACTGTGAGGGTTAAGAGTGTAGGGAGCCGTAGTATGAGAAACACAAAGCTGCTGCCAAGAACCACAAACAAAACCCACAAACGTTGGACGTTTTGCTGTGCTTGATTGTAATGCAGCAGGATGTCATTAAAAATGTCTAAAGTCTTAAAATTGACTTGCTGAAACCTGCAAATATCCTGAATATTTCTTTTTGTTTGTCGAATCATTTCCCATTCAGCATTTTCTGTGGAACCTATGGTAGTTTTATATATTTATAATTTTTTAGTACGTTAGTAGAATGTGAGAGGATGCAGATGTTCTGAGACTGTTCAAGCATATTTATATAAATTTGGAGGTTGCAAGGTTGTTCACGAATACATAGGTAGGAAGAAATTTGTATTTCTATATTATCTTGATTTTTAATTTGTATGTAATCTAATGAACATAAATGTCCTACCAGGACTGGAGTTGTGAATTAGCTGTAGCTTGTTTTGTTGTTCTGCTCCTGTCAAATAAACAAAAATTTTTTAAATGAAATGGATATTTGCATAAAAAATAAGATTATCAAAGTACTGAAAGTCCATGTGACTTTGATTTTCCAAGTAAGTTTTTGTTTCAGAAAAGTAGAGTGTGTGCCTCTACTTCTCTGCATATGCACCTGCTTTCTAATGCAGGTGCATATGCACTGCTTCATGCCATGTTTCCTGCTCATCTCCCTTCCCCCATGCCTGTCAATATATGAGACAATGTGATTTCTCACTGTGAAACTTTAAGGTCTTTTCTACTTTAAAGAAGTTTGAAAAGCTAAATTGTGTCCAATCAGGCTGGCCATTTTGTTTCTGGCTCTGCATGGTGGAGTACTAAGGGGGAGGGGGCAGCAGCAGCTTTGGAGAAAGGATGTGAGTTTACTGAAGAACTTTTGCTGAAAGAAAATGCCCCAGCTCCTCCAACACCCACCCTCCTTTCACCATTGTGTCCAAGGCTATGGAGCTGGACAGACGGAGCTGATTCCTAAATGGTAGATTAGTTTGAAAAGTTGGGTTTGAACATGAACTAATTAATTAAAAATAGTGTTTATTTATAATGAATTGAAAATACACTATTTTTAAATCTGAGCTCTGAACTGAGCTCAGAGCTTTGACTAATCAGTTTCCATTAAACTTATAATGCTCTATTATTGGTATTAATAATTCTGTAATGAAGGTATTATTTTACCTCTATTCCTTTCTGCTGAATTAACCTTGCCTCAGATCATCTTTAATACTTCATTTATAGTTTTCTCCAGTATCAAACTGTTGACATTTCCCACTGTGTAAACTGAGCTGTTTTGTCCCAACTGCTATGGTTGCTGTGGAAACGCCATGATGTCGTGTCATTGTGGTTTGAAAGCTTATGAACGAGAAGCTGCGGTCTGGTTCAGCAAAAGAGCATGATAAACAGAGATAAAGTGAGTGTGGTGGATGCTTCCTTCACCTTTGTGCACAGTGGCCACATGACATCCAACGTCACTATCAGAGCAGGCTAACTTCAGGCCTTTATTTGGCCCTGGGAAGACACACTGGTTATTTTGCTCCAGCAATCTGTAATTGCTTCTTTTAATTAGAATCATCAAAATAAGATAACACTTAGTAAAATGTTCATATACTTTATGGTAGTGAACCTTTAGTTCAGCCCTGTAGTTACATTATGTGATTATTTATAAATGCTTTTCTTCATTTTGCTTCCATTTGTTTGCCAATTTGCTTTTAATGCAAAAATTTTTTTAGAACATAAAAACAAACAGGATGTGAAGTATGTGATATGGGCTTGTGTGTGTAAAATAGTAAACTTAACAATTCCAACAATACAGACAGGTGTGGGGGTTAAACGTCATTTATCATGATAATAAATCAAAATTCTTGTGATAAATGTATCACAATAAATGATTTAATAAATTAATCTGGACTTTTGCGGTGTAAACAAGGATTTAGTCCAAGTAGATGTATAATTTCTCTTTCACATAATTTTATTGAATATTTTCTTGAATGATTAACAGCAACAGTAGGGTATCTAATAACTTCACTAGTAGCTGACTGATTATCATTTCAAAGTGATGCAAAGAATGAAAAGGTTTTACTCTCACTAATTGTTTCAGATTAAAAAAATATGGCTTTGACAACTGACTTTAGCTGTATGTCCAGTGTAAGGCTGATTCAGTGAGGACAGGTCAACATAAGGTTTTGAAATATTGCTAGGCCCAGCTATCCACAACTTAAGCCTTTTTGTCATTATTTATCGGTTTATCCATAACAAAATATATGCACTGTCAGAGTGGAGTTCTGCATGATTGAGCTAGGAAGCGGATTTCGATGGCACACAAACAGACAGAACACCGTTGGACAGTCCATGAAGCTAGTTGTTAAATAGATAGCGTTATGCTTATAGGAGGCTGTTAATACAGGGCCTTTTTATAGCTGTTCTCAAAAATTAATGTCATAGTTTTAGCTTGTAGCATTAGTGCAGGCATTTCCTTTTCTCCTGTCTATTTGCCTCATAGGCAGTCTGCTCTCTGAATAGTACTGCTGTGTTTTCCCTGTCGGCTAAACAGAGTTGCGGTCACATGCGTTTCCTCCTGGATGTACTGGGCAGGTTAAACGTCAAAACTTCTTGGAAGGAAGGGAGGCGCTGAGTGTCTTTAGTTGCTGCTGGAAGAAATGTGACAATTCCAGCAAATGTCAATAGGTCCGTTTATAACAATTGTGACATTAATTTGTGTTTTGAATAAATAATTTTTCTAGTATCGATTATATATTAGCAATGGTGGATATATTATCGCTGGGTTGTCTATTCGAGCCCTTGTCTGTCTCCGTCGTCGAGGTAACACTCTTGACCCACCCTGCCTGCTGGTGCTGGTCGGAGGGGCAGGTGGCGCTGCTGGGCAGACCCAGGGCAGCTATCCTAGCAGGTCAACTATGTCAGGAGTATATTTAACAAAGAATTTAGAGAAAGTGGTTAGCATCAACTTGGTTTAGGGTTCAAGGACTTTTAACAAAAAACTTTGGTCAGATCTGTGCAAGATGCAAGATGTTTGTTGTAGATTTCAGGCTGAATATTGAAACTTGTGGGAATGCAGTCATAATGTTTGCTACTGTTATGGAACTCCTCTGCCTCATAACTGCATGTTATATCCATGCCAGGACACTCGACTCTTTTCACATTTCTCTCACATTACGCAAACTGTCAGTGAGTGCTGACGCTGAAACTAATCGCTCATCATGAGCAGTTCTACATACAGTCAGGTGCTGTTTTGAAACCTGCAGCTATCTCTGTGGGATGCCTGTGGTGCTGATAATAAATCAAAAGATGAAAAATGTCTTGACTTGTATCTTTCTGTCTTTATGTCCTTGTCAGTTGTGCTGCTCCTTGTTTCAACATGCCCCTCACCAAACAGGCTGGGGCCAGATTTACCGATCAGCAGTGTTAACATTTACAGATTCACATTCAAAAATACTTTATTGATCCCAAAGAGCATTAAAGGCTATGTAATTAATAGTTCTTCAAAAAACTGTAGATTTCTTTTTTTTTTTTTTTTTAATTTCCTTTATTTAGGATCTGGATCTCAATGGGTAAACCCCATTGAGATCCAGACCTCCTTTTCAAGAGGGACCTGGGCAGAAGTCTGCAATACACAGTGACAAATTAAAACCAATAGATATGCACAAGTGTAAAACTATAGAAAACAATTCAAAAGCATTGACACTGTTTAATAGAATCGTATTGCCTGTTTTTAAGAACCGCTCGAAATAAATCAAATGAAATCAATTCTGACATCTTGAGTTCAGACTGGAGCTGATTCCAGGCTGAAGGAGCCGTCACACTGAATGCTTGCTTCCCCTTTTCAGTTCAAACACGTGGAACATGCACAAGAAAAAATGTATTATAGCGTAAAGAATTGGAAATAACAAATCTATGTAAGAGAGAGTTTAAGTTTGTGGGAGCCAATCCGAGTAGAGATTTATAAATGAGGATCATCAGGTGATTGTTTCTCTGTATTCTTAAAGGAAGCCATTCAGCTTTTGCAAACAATTCACAATGACATGTAAGACGTCTGCTACCGGTTACAAACCTTAAAGCACAATGATACACGGTATTCAATAATTGAAGGCATTTGGTTGAAGCATTCATATATAACACTTCTCCATAATCCAGAGAAACAAGATGTCGGTAATAAAACCCAATCTTCATTTTCAATGTTCATGACTGTTTATGACTGTGGGCAGGAAGGATCTCCTGCAGTGGTCTGTTATAGCGAATCTGAAGAAGCTTCTGACTGTAGAGGCTATTGTTGTCATAAAGAGGATGCTCAGGGTTGTTGAGAATTTTCTAGATTTTCTGAAGATACCTTCTTTTCACCATCATCTCCAGATCTTCCAGATCAGGTTTTGAATTTGGGTCACTGACTAATCAGAAGGATATGAGCTAAACAAGGTGGTTTTGATAAACGCATGAATAAAATCACTGTTAAGAGAACACAAACATGAAACCTATCCTCATTTTGCTCGTTTGTGTATCAACATATTAGCCTCTCTTTGCACTCTGGTGTATGCAGGAATGCTGCCTCATGTGTTTGTTTCAAATACAGCTTTGTTCCAGCGAATGCATACATTATAGATTGAGTGAGGTAGCTTTAGAATACCTAAATGCAGAAAAGTACCAGGCTTTAAAGCCTGATTAATTGATCAGTACCAATCAGACCAGAGCCTTTGGAATCAATTATTAAAAACCACATATTTACATGGCATGTGTCCACAGTTAATTTATGCATATTTTCCAGATTGATACTAATTCTAGTAAGATTTGAGCCTGTCATTTATTGCTTATTTGTGTAGTGAGGAGGGGTGTAAGGAGACCAATGCCTGATTTCATGCTGTGCTTATTTACTTGGTAGCTTAATTTCCTGTGGCAAAATAGATGAAGAAATATTTAACTGACTGTGAAATATCAAACACTCTAAAAAGGCTTATAGAGAGATGCAGCACTCTTGACATCATACTCAGAACCAATAAATGTATCAATGCAAATAACATAATTACAAGAAATGTGTTGATAATGGAAAAAAAGCTTCAAACTGACAAGCAAAAAGTTGAGAACAATCAGCCATGATCCCTGTGGGAAGCCATTTTCCTCCAGAGCTGCCGTGTTTCAGGACCGCCTCAATGTGCTTAGAATGAGTTGAGGGTTATTCATTTTATATTTGACACATGGAGAATTCTATTTAATTCTATTCATATGTCACTCATGGTGGCAGTATGTTGTAGCAGCTCTGCTACGTCAATTTTAATTGGTTCTTTCTCTAGATGTCTGTTTATATTTTTATTGATTGATTCACTGCATGGTTAGACATTTGTTCCCTTGGCTATGGTTGCTGAGGGAATAATCGAACAAAGAATTTTTGCTTTTTTTTACTTTTGGACAATTAGAATGTTGTCCAACTATGGACACAAGGTATTGTTTTTCAACTGGGAGCAGATGATTAGCATCTAAAAACCTCAAATGTTACCTGAACTAATCCCAGAAGCTGCCCAGCAGAACCACAGAGGAGAAAGAGGAATAAGTTCAAACTCTCTTTGAAGAACCTTTGCAACAGCATTAAGTTTCTCTTGGTGATCAATAAAGTATTTTTGAATTTAATTAAAACTGGGGTAAATCAGCGCAGATTTCCATCAGTTTGGGAGATTGGTGATTGACCAATACGTACACATGAAGCCGATCTTTATCCACCTCAGCAAAGGTCTAAAAATCAGCCGCTGTCTACTTTGTTGTACTGTGGAGAGATTTATTGGACAGACCTGCCCAAGGTCACGTCTGTAAGTTCTGTATTAACAATAGTCACCCCACTGTTGCCAATTCACTGAAGTTTTTGCTATGTTTAGCAACATTGAGACAAAATCAGTGTTGGCCAGAATCAAAATTGGAAGGTCAGGCTTTTTTAAACATCGCCAATCAGCCAGAAAGCTCCAATTGACGCACCCCTAATTGAAAACATCCGTTCCATCGATCACAGTGGCATGTCCGCTCTGCTTTCTAACCAAACAGATAGATTCAAAGAGGAGTAAAAGCAAATGTGGTGGATCAGCAGTTCTTGCCAAGAACTGATGGAATCATCCAGGTTACTATGGAGTATCGCCTTTGCTGCCTGGATTCTGAGCTGTTAGCCATAGCTAACAGCTAACTGACTTCTAGCAGATC